ACCCATCTTTATGTCACCTCCCATCTACTTTTTGGTTTTCCAAGTGCATCTTTTCCAAGATGATTCCCTACTGACATTTTTACAAAGATTTATAAATAAAATATTGGACAGGTTCTGTTTTAACATATCTTTTCTTTCTTTCTAAGGCACAACGGCCCGAAGTCGAGCCTTGGCCTCCTCCCACGTGGGAGGTTTCTTTGTCCTTGAAGTATGCATTTATGAGTAATGAGTGACAAGCCCATTGCCTCTGTACAATTTCTGCTCAATCCTGATTTGTCTGCTAATGAATCAGGAGAGACTTTGGTGAGAAATGGCAAATTAATTCTGCTTACAAAACATCTCGTTCATGCTCGTAAGGTTCTTTTACATGCTGTAAATCTATGATATGGAACCGCCGGCTTTTTCGATGAAGTTGTGCTATGGATTTTTGTCACCCTTAAAAATCCATGGACCTCGGCCGGGTTCGAACCCACGAGCCTTGGGTCCAGTAGCAAGCACGCCAACTACTAATCCGCCGAAGACGAAAAAGAAAGTCTACTGTATATTGAAAATAAATACACATATACATACAGTATATCACTGGATACTGTACAGGGTATACCTAAATATTCATGCCATTGAATTTATTACCTGGAAAAATTTTCATTTCAACTTTCCCTTCTTTTTAATGATGCATTTACAATTACTTTGATTCCTACTACATATATTTGTAATGGCACTCGCCAACAACCGAATGAGGTGGAGGAGCTTTATATCAGCCCTATGTTCCCAAGAGGAATAAAAGGAATTAACTAACTAACTAACTACATATATTTGTGGCTCAAACCTACATCCAGTAAGGATCCACAGCCCATAAATAGTGTAGAAACTGGCCAAACCTCTATCTTGTAGTACTTATTGTGAAATGGCAGAATGAAGTTCAAAACATCACTCCTTTTGATAGTACTTTTTAATTACCTTATCATATACTTTGACAGATCATGTAAAAGATAAACTAGCTCAAGAGAGGTGTTTCCTATATAAGACATGCCGATTACCGAGAAGGGAACAGATTAATTTGTGTGCAGGGACCATGTCGCTGCAACGGGTTATTACGGTAGCTGTGCTGACAGTCACAATCTGTGTGGCAATAAATGCCACTTCGTTAACAGGTAACATACATACACACATATTCTCCAAACGTGTTGATTAATTACTGCTTATTCTTTTACCATTGTGTTTTATATGGGTCAATGAACTAAGTGTTGTCAATCTATTACATTTTCCCTCAATCTTTCCTTTTCAATTTCTTGTCTGATCTTTTCTCTCTCCTTGATGTATTCTAGTACCTGGCTGAAAAGTCTTGTTTTAGGTTAAGCTATGTGTCTCTTTTTTTTTTCTATCAACCCCATGCTCATTTACTGCAGATACAGATATATATGTCTTTGTTTCTTATCAACCGGCACGCAACTCTTACGACAGAAATAAGTGGTAATATTTGTAACACAGAACTACATACAGTGTAAGTCTACTGAGATAAAGCTAACTAGGAACAGCTACATTGTAGGATTTCGTGTTCCCATGGCATAAAATCTGAAGATGGCCGTCTTCTGCATTGTACTTGTTTCCTCATTGATCTGATGATGGTGGCAGCAAGTACCTCTGAAATTCTGGTAAATTTCTACCAGAATACAGAGGGCTACAGCCCGGAACACAGCCATCTTCGACAGTCACATTGTTTTTGTCATCTGTTTCATTAAAATTTCCAGATCCAAGACATGAGAATTACGAAATATTATGGAAGCCTTCGTTTTAAAATTTGTTTTAAATATAAAATCTTATTCACACTTATTATTATGTCTTTATAGATTCTAATAATTAATTTAATAAATGAAACTACCACATGAATATTTAACTATGACATCGTAATTCAAAACACTTATAGTGCAACTAACATGAGGAGGAAGCAGACCCAACTGCTTTTTATATTCATCCAGAAGGAATAGGTTAAACCTGATTAATACTTTTGAGACTAATTACTGTAGATAATACTGAACAGACAAATGTTCTTGGGTTTACTGATTACATTCGATAGGCCTTCATGTTGGGACAGGCCTATGAGAAGCCTTGAGACAATAAAGACTGATATGAAAATGTTAACATTTCTCAAACTTCCCGACAGTAACACTATGGGCACTTTGGCCTGGGTTCGAGTCCTGGTAAAGATGGTTTCTGTAGCTCAGAAACTAAGCACAATTAAATGTCTGTCCTGGGGTCAAGTCTTCATGAGAATTGTTTTGGTAGCTCGAAACCAAGTACAACAGAAGACTGGCGTCACAACCAAAATTGAGTGATTCAGAGGAATTATTGAAACCAAGATTACAAGCCATAAAACTGTCCTGGTTTCAAGTCCCAGTAAAAATGTTATCTGCACATTGGAAATTAATGATTGTAGATCATAGATAAAACCAACATTGTTTATTTCTGTGATGAGATTACAGGGTCACAGTTCATAAACCCAAAGAATCTGCCCTGTGTTCGATTCTCTGTAAAGATGATTTTTGTATCATGCAAACTAATGATGGTAGGATTTAGACAAAATGAGGACTGTTTGTTTCAGTGATAAGGTTACAGGAACAAATGCCATAACTTTGAGAAAAGTGTCCCAAGTTCAAGAATTGGTGTACAGTGAAAACTAATTGTGGTTGTGGTTGATTGTTCAAAGACAAATGAACAAAAGGTGATAAAACAACAGTTCCAATACAAAAGTTGTTCTCTTTCAGGACCTAAAAAGATGTAATGAGAAAAGATTTCAGGCTAAACATTTAAAAAAAGAACATAACACAAGCCATAATTTTAACAGATTATGAAAGAGAGAAACTGTACTTATTCTCAAAATATCAATAATATTAAGCCACCTGACTACCTGTTAGAGTTCATTTTCAATTTCTTGTTAAATTGTTTTTTTATACGATAATCAAAAAAGCTCATGGCCAGTCTTCAAAAGAAGTTGACATTGATTTTAAAAAGTAATGTTTTCTATATGTGTGGCTTTATCAAAAGATGGTTCTGCAAAAAGCTTATATAAACTGGCGCCAACAGGTAAAACAACAAATTTAGTTAATAAAAAATTTGTGTGCTGGTTTTTCATCATAAGACTGTACAACATTTGCATTCTCAAGAACAATTAATTTTAATATTTGTTGTGTTACGCATCATCATTAAAATATTGTAAATATATTATTCAAATATATTCATCCCTCTTTTTAGATTCAATAATTAATTTCATAAATTAAACTACTGCACGGATATTTAATTGCTTTCATTTCTCAGTATGCTTCTGTATAATACATTTCAAAATTAAGCATATTTATGGTGCACTAATCTAAGGACGAAGAATGAACCTACCATTTATATTAATAGAGGAGTAGTGGGTAAAATCGCGACAAATATCTTTGAAACTAATAACTAAGATAAATGTTCTGGGGTTTAAGTGATAGTTTTTTCTTACGATATCTAACAATACATGTTGAATGATGTGACATCAGACAAGCAAGAGTGTTAAAAAATGTACACATTTGTCAGTTTTCCTCATAATAACACTGCAGGCACTCAGCTATTTCATATGCAAGACAGTTGTGTTTCCATTAAATATAGAATGTTAATACTAAATATAAAAACTAATACATCCCTTTACACAAATTCACCACAGTATAAAAACATCGTATTTTGCAGAGGCAGAAATAGAGATGAGAAATGACGTGTTACATGGACTCAGACAATTCGATGAAACAGGGAAACTCACAGAACAGTTTATTGCAATAATCAAGCAACTGCCTTTGTCAACTCTCTTCAGCATGAACTCAAGAACAGAAATCATAAAACGTGACAATATAATATGTTCAGCATGCATCGCAGTGGTAAATGCTCTGACAGATTACATAAATACTCATTCAAGTGAGGATCTATTGAGCCTTATAAGTAAACTATGCATTGATGTGGTAAAATACGACGAAGAAGTATGTTCTGGGGTCATTAGTCTGAACTTGGTAAGTGATTTTCAGTCTTAATTATTAATTATTAAATTACAAATTAATATTATTATTTCTTACGTAATATTTAGTAATTTTATTGAAATTATGATATATAATTAAGTTATGAACGAGTTAGTAGTACAAATTTATCAGTCAGGATATTTTTCACAAAAATAACCTATAACATTAAAAACAAATAAAGCAGCTGTATGATTAAGAAAACTAATTTGTTTTGGGTTTCGGGATGCATGGACTTGTGTGTATGTCCGTATTTCAAATTGCTCTCTGTAAGTTCAGAATGTCACTAGGAATTTAAAACTCATTCCTACAGTCATGAGGTTGCTGATTAACAGCTACAATTTTCAAGTGCATATTACATTATTTAGCATTCCAACATTCAGTTTGATTAACCTCAAACAAAATTTCAATCAAATCTGTCAAAGAATTCAGCAACTGAAAAATTAGACAGACTTTCAGATGAGCAGAGAGGACAGTTACACTCACAGATGACAGATGTTCATTAACACTGACAAGTAATTTAAGTAGAGTGCTTATACACGCATGTACAAAACTCCCAAAAACTGATATCACCATTGAAAATATGCATAACTACAGAAAATTATTCCAATATAACATAAAGATTAGAAAACTCACAACATAAACCAAAGAAATATAATCTGAATCACTCATTATGTACATTTTTAAATTCTGAGGTAATAATCTTACATGTTCTATAGGATTCAGCGTTGTTCATATTTAAAAATACCAACGACATCACTGCCAGCCGAGTCTGTGGAATCGTACTTCAGGATTATGAGTGTTCAAAAGATGACCCCAGTCTTGAATGGACTATACAAATTCCACCTGGACCAGCACCAGAAGTCAACAGAATTGAAAACGTGAAAGCAGATGTAAGAGCAAGCCTAATATATAAATATATATACAGTCACAAATTCAGAGAGTTTCAAAATTTTCTCAGTATAAACAACCATAACAACATGAAATAAAAAGACGTGTTCTTAATGCGTAGGATACAGCTTACAGAAGAAGGAGGTTTGTGGAACCTGAATCAGAAGGTTGATAATAAAGAAAAATCTAAGAATCCTACTGTTTTATATTGCTTGAATGCTGTTATCTTCTGATGGTGAAAATTTATGATAAAGTCACTTAAAATTTAAATTCACTTTCAACCGTGTCTAACGTAGTAAAATAAAATAAAACTCACATTGAATCTTGCATGAAAAGCATAATAAGATATAAAAATGATATTCCAATTCACCGTCATCAAGATACTGCCCACATAATGAATTGCAGATGTGGAAAAACAGTTTCCCAAAAATTAGTCTATTACACCAATTTTGCATTGTTTTTCTATATGCAATGTTTTCGTAGTAGTGTTGATAAGCTTTATAACAGGCGTAAGTATTCATGTTGGGAAGTTCAGTCTCTGGAAGAGGAAGGGCCTTATACAGTTGTATAAGGTCCTTTCATCAGTTCCTGCATGAAATGCTAATGATTAGATCTTACAGATACGAGCCACTATCCTCCTTCCAAAACTTAACCTACAACAGAAGACTATTCTAGCATATCGAAGTAAATGTAACCCCCACCGCCAATGACAGTTAGTGAAAGTTTACATGTAGATAAAATTTCCAGTCATGAAAACACCCTTCCTTCATATATTCACATGAATGTTATTTTTTATTCAGCACATATTTTACTGCATAATTTTTCAGGAATGTATTTACTAATAAATGAGAAATATCTGAGCATCATGACACTAATATTCAGGTGTGTTTGAACTGTATTTAATGTAGTATTATGTAGATGAAAGACTCTCGGGCAACAAGCTGCGTCAGGTGGCTGAATGGCGAATGAACCATTTCTTCCGCCAATGTTTCGGGAGCCATCTATGCTCTCATCGGTGAGAACGCTACACAGGACCAATTTCATTTAACAGCTGCCATAATTTAGTTAGTAGAATAGAATCGACTTGTGTGTATGTCCGTATTTCAAATTGCTCTCTGTAAGTTCAGAATGTCACTAGGAATTTAAAACTCATTCCTACAGTCATGAGGTTGCTGATTAACAGCTACAATTTTCAAGTGCATATTACATTATTTAGCATTCCAACATTCAGTTTGATTAACCTCAAACAAAATTTCAATCAAATCTGTCAAAGAATTCAGCAACTGAAAAATTAGACAGACTTTCAGATGAGCAGAGAGGACAGTTACACTCACAGATGACAGATGTTCATTAACACTGACAAGTAATTTAAGTAGAGTGCTTATACACGCATGTACAAAACTCCCAAAAACTGATATCACCATTGAAAATATGCATAACTACAGAAAATTATTCCAATATAACATAAAGATTAGAAAACTCACAACATAAACCAAAGAAATATAATCTGAATCACTCATTATGTACATTTTTAAATTCTGAGGTAATAATCTTACATGTTCTATAGGATTCAGCGTTGTTCATATTTAAAAATACCAACGACATCACTGCCAGCCGAGTCTGTGGAATCGTACTTCAGGATTATGAGTGTTCAAAAGATGACCCCAGTCTTGAATGGACTATACAAATTCCACCTGGACCAGCACCAGAAGTCAACAGAATTGAAAACGTGAAAGCAGATGTAAGAGCAAGCCTAATATATAAATATATATACAGTCACAAATTCAGAGAGTTTCAAAATTTTCTCAGTATAAACAACCATAACAACATGAAATAAAAAGACGTGTTCTTAATGCGTAGGATACAGCTTACAGAAGAAGGAGGTTTGTGGAACCTGAATCAGAAGGTTGATAATAAAGAAAAATCTAAGAATCCTACTGTTTTATATTGCTTGAATGCTGTTATCTTCTGATGGTGAAAATTTATGATAAAGTCACTTAAAATTTAAATTCACTTTCAACCGTGTCTAACGTAGTAAAATAAAATAAAACTCACATTGAATCTTGCATGAAAAGCATAATAAGATATAAAAATGATATTCCAATTCACCGTCATCAAGATACTGCCCACATAATGAATTGCAGATGTGGAAAAACAGTTTCCCAAAAATTAGTCTATTACACCAATTTTGCATTGTTTTTCTATATGCAATGTTTTCGTAGTAGTGTTGATAAGCTTTATAACAGGCGTAAGTATTCATGTTGGGAAGTTCAGTCTCTGGAAGAGGAAGGGCCTTATACAGTTGTATAAGGTCCTTTCATCAGTTCCTGCATGAAATGCTAATGATTAGATCTTACAGATACGAGCCACTATCCTCCTTCCAAAACTTAACCTACAACAGAAGACTATTCTAGCATATCGAAGTAAATGTAACCCCCACCGCCAATGACAGTTAGTGAAAGTTTACATGTAGATAAAATTTCCAGTCATGAAAACACCCTTCCTTCATATATTCACATGAATGTTATTTTTTATTCAGCACATATTTTACTGCATAATTTTTCAGGAATGTATTTACTAATAAATGAGAAATATCTGAGCATCATGACACTAATATTCAGGTGTGTTTGAACTGTATTTAATGTAGTATTATGTAGATGAAAGACTCTCGGGCAACAAGCTGCGTCAGGTGGCTGAATGGCGAATGAACCATTTCTTCCGCCAATGTTTCGGGAGCCATCTATGCTCTCATCGGTGAGAACGCTACACAGGACCAATTTCATTTAACAGCTGCCATAATTTAGTTAGTAGAATAGAATCCCTATCTTATCCCTACCTTAAGCCATACAAGAAATACTGTATGTTTTACATCAAAAATATCTTTTTTATCACCATCAGCAAATTAAACTTTAGCAACACAGCATTTCCTTGGAGTGCTGTTTTTAATTGCTGAATGCAGTCAGTAATACGATATCCTGACAGAAACCTAATCTTTTTATTTTGGTCTGGAGTAAACAAATCTGTATCTTTATTAGTAATATTAAAATATGGCTAAGAGCATCTTAAACATACTTCTTTCAAACATATTTTCAGGCTGACGATCCTCTGACAATCATTCAGCTGTCAGACATTCACCATGATCCAGTATATTTACCAGGAGGGAACGCGGTATGTGCTGCACCGATGTGCTGCAGAAGCGATCAAGGTACACCAGCAAACCCTGGAGCAGCAGCTGGTTTTTGGGGTGATTACAGGAGCTGTGATTTACCGTGGAATGTTTTTAATGATACAGTGCAACAAATCAAAAGAACTCATCAGGTAAAGGATTACACCTTCTAATAAATAATTATCTATCAGCAGGGTGTTAATAAAGAAGGGTACACTTTCCAAAGGAAAGAGTCATAAACACAAGAGACCTACACAAGACCATGTTTCTCACCCAGATATTGTTAGTAAATTGAAATTCCATACGCTCATGTTTTAAATGTTGTCATAATCTACCTACTGTATGAAAAATGTGTACATAGCACAAAACTTTTAACTATAGTAAGTCCTTTTGTCTATATTTAACGCAACAAACATTTTGGACCTTCAAATAACTTATCATTGCAGTCCTAACCCATATTTTGTTGATTAATTTCATCATTTATTTTAAGCTTATAGGTAAAGAAAACATAATATCCATAATACAAATTATATAAAAAATAGCAAATGCCTCCAGAGCTCGAGTCAGTATGAGTGACTCGGAACATATCTCACCAATTATATTAGATATAAGACCAGAGAAGCCTCGTAATGGAAAATATTTATGATAATCTCTACAGTATCAGAAAACTATCCATAATACAAATGAAAAACAAGAGTGAACAGGCCATTAATTTAGTGAATTTATTTATTTTTTTACAGAACATTGATTTTATCTACGTTACTGGAGATATTGTAGACCATTCAGTATGGAGTACAAGTATTACAGCAAACAGTGATGTAATAACAAAAGTTATGAATGAACTGAAAGAAGAATTTCCAGACACGCCAATATATCCAATTCTTGGAAACCATGAACCAAGTCCACTAAATGTGTGAGTGTTTATCTTAGGAGCGGATATAGATTTTCAGATTTTTAAGCTAAAAATAAACAAGAATAGAAGACTATGGACGGATGTTCTGTACAGGTGCTTTTCGGCTAGGTCACTAATTATGCCTTATTATTGTGTAGTACTTCCATTCAAAGTTATATGCCAAATGTTGACAGAATTTTCTAAGATTATTACGACATAACAGTTATTTTACAAACTCAAATAAAGTGGAACTCCTAATACTGCCAACACCAAGGTCCACCACATGCTAAATCCTGAATTACATAAATCCAGAATACATCTTTATATGTATGCTATGTTTAGCATTGCCCGTTGTTTGAGGTATACCTGGCGGAGACAATGATTTGGGAGTTGGCTCGACTTCCATCTGTATATGATCAGTTGTCACTATACTAACCCATGACATTTCAAATGGTATGCTAGTAAGCTTACCACTAGATTACTGGGATGGCACTTTATATTTCTTTTGCATCTATCATCATCTTCAGGTGACTTGTGACTGTACAGTCGTTAATGAAACCATTGCAAAAAGCTGCACTTAAGACTGTTGTTGGTGTTATTCTCCTGATCACAGACAACACAGTTTCATTAATTAATACTGTATGAAAAATGTGTACATAGCACAAAACTTTTAACTATAGTAAGTCCTTTTGTCTATATTTAACGCAACAAACATTTTGGACCTTCAAATAACTTATCATTGCAGTCCTAACCCATATTTTGTTGATTAATTTCAGCATTTATTTTAAGCTTATAGGTAAAGAAAACATAATATCCATAATACAAATTATATAAAAAATAGCAAATGCCTCCAGAGCTCGAGTCAGTATGAGTGACTCGGAACATATCTCACCAATTATATTAGATATAAGACCAGAGAAGCCTCGTAATGGAAAATATTTATGATAATCTCTACAGTATCAGAAAACTATCCATAATACAAATGAAAAACAAGAGTGAACAGGCCATTAATTTAGTGAATTTATTTATTTTTTTACAGAACATTGATTTTATCTACGTTACTGGAGATATTGTAGACCATTCAGTATGGAGTACAAGTATTACAGCAAACAGTGATGTAATAACAAAAGTTATGAATGAACTGAAAGAAGAATTTCCAGACACGCCAATATATCCAATTCTTGGAAACCATGAACCAAGTCCACTAAATGTGTGAGTGTTTATCTTAGGAGCGGATATAGATTTTCAGATTTTTAAGCTAAAAATAAACAAGAATAGAAGACTATGGACGGATGTTCTGTACAGGTGCTTTTCGGCTAGGTCACTAATTATGCCTTATTATTGTGTAGTACTTCCATTCAAAGTTATATGCCAAATGTTGACAGAATTTTCTAAGATTATTACGACATAACAGTTATTTTACAAACTCAAATAAAGTGGAACTCCTAATACTGCCAACACCAAGGTCCACCACATGCTAAATCCTGAATTACATAAATCCAGAATACATCTTTATATGTATGCTATGTTTAGCATTGCCCGTTGTTTGAGGTATACCTGGCGGAGACAATGATTTGGGAGTTGGCTCGACTTCCATCTGTATATGATCAGTTGTCACTATACTAACCCATGACATTTCAAATGGTATGCTAGTAAGCTTACCACTAGATTACTGGGATGGCACTTTATATTTCTTTTGCATCTATCATCATCTTCAGGTGACTTGTGACTGTACAGTCGTTAATGAAACCATTGCAAAAAGCTGCACTTAAGACTGTTGTTGGTGTTATTCTCCTGATCACAGACAACACAGTTTCATTAATTAAAAAGGATGAAGGGTAGACACTTTTTTTTATTTTTTTGGATGATGAAATTTACGCTAGCTGAAATTTCAGGTTCTCATGGTAACAAGTACGAAAAAGACTCTCTTTTGGGATGTTTCATTATGAACTTTCATAGATATTGACTGACATTTCAGAGGGGCTATTACTTCCATCATCAGGGCATCATTTGCATCATTGCCATGTTGATGGAGACAGCAAACACCTCTGAAACACCAGTCAATTTATACTAGAATACATGACGCAACATCCTAGAAGATAGACAGACATCTTCAACTTTGCGTTGCCACATTGTAGGTACTTAGAAATATATTGAGTGGAATCTGTCAGCAGGATTTACTACTGGGCAAAGCAGCGAAAGAAAGTGCCACTGTACAGCAATATGACAAAGAAATAATGGGTACAATGCATCAATTACATAAACATCCTATATATATATTATGAGAAGTTTCTGTATCGGTATTGTATCTTATCACATATTTCCTGAAAATAAAACAGTAAGAATGATTTGTGAAAAATCACATAGCATCCCCTGCTCTTTTCTGAGCAACTTCACGTTTCACATCAGAATTCATAATGCTGTATCAATAATATTTTATAATCTTCAGCATTTGACCATACTGCAGGACACTAAATACCATGTAGGTAGTAAGAAAACTCATTCTGACTATTTTAAGTTGGGTACAACACGTAAAACTTGTTAACGGAGATCGTAAGTGCTTCTACATAGTGCAACCATGCTAACTGGTTCTATTATTTCTTCATAGGTTTGCACCACATTACATTACCGATGAGACTATTTCCACAAAATGGTTATATGAATTGATAGCAGATCTGTGGTCTGTTTGGCTGCCGGAAGAAGCTAAACAAACTATATTACACGGAGGATTCTACACTGCGCTGGCAAAACCTGGTTTCCGAATTATAGCCCTCAACAACAACGTCTGCTACACCTTTAATTGGTAAATGAAGAACAACAATACTTCAACATCTTATTACTTCCATCATTCCCAGTCAGATATATCATACGAACATGGGCCTGGTTCTCGGTTATGAAAGTATGGGTATTTGGAATGTACTTTGACTTGAACAAGTTATTTATGGAAAAAGATATGGGAAAATGAGATTACAATGTACAGTACATTGAACAAACCGAGAAAAAGATTACATTGTGCATATAAAGCGAAGCTTTCACGGCAACTGAAGTTGATGTAACCCGAGAATCTTTCATCGATGACATTGTACAATTTACACAGTCAGTAATTGCATGGTGGGCAATCATGAATATCACTACAGGTGATCCATCGGTCTAGGAAACTGTTCATTCAGATACTCTGTGACGTTCCTACTGAAAAGTGGGTGTCCCATCATGGATTCACTTATGGTATGGATACAGTCCTCCACTGTATAATATTTCCCATACTCTTATGTCTTGAACATGGAGGCAGGCAGAAATTCTCTGCCGTTTCAATTAAATTTTCCTCCTCATCCACATTCCATCATTATGGATGTTTAGCATTCAACAACACACCTGGAAATAAGCCACTTTCTCACAAAGGTAAAAGTCACTGCCAATATTCCTCAAAAGCATCAGTGAAATTGCCATTGCAAAACCCATACACAAAAAGCTTCCCTAGAAAATATAAACAACACGTTCACACGATGCAGCTCAAAGCTCGACATGAATGCACTCACAAGCTCCTGGTGCACTGGGAAATTTCAAATTCCCACAGCTCTGTAACTATTGAAAATCAAACCCACATCCGTATGATACTTCTGAAAAGGAATTACCTCAAGCATAGGATACTGAGGTTTTGACATAATTAAATTTACTCCTGTATATAAGGGATCCCCTTCTCTTTCAAATTCATCCTGAAGAAGGAAACTGCAGTGTTTTCTGAAATGTTGGGACACATTTAACATTCACGGCTAATCACACCCCGAGAGCCACGTTTACACATTTTACTCTGGCCAGGAAAACCTACGGACAAGTATCATATATGAACATCCTTATTTTTCTTTAATGCTTCATTTACCATAAATGAGTAGGCATTCGGGTCTGCATACAGCAGTCAGACTTTTAACACTGTTTTACTGTGATAAAAGATACATCACATTCAAAACCGCCTACGTGGAAATCAATTTTGGAGTGAGGTTGGAGACACAATAATTTCCTGCGCATTAATTCTTACGGCTAGTCCTCCATTTCTTAACTTTTTTGTATTCCAATAATAAATTCTATCGATAAATTTAAATATTATAATTTCTTGTACAGTTTCATTAGTTCCTGGGACACATTTACTCCGAGATTTGTGGAAACCTGAATTATTCTGATCAGTTATTTCAGGAAAGATGTAGAAGGCAATGGTAACAGACACGTGTCATCAGAAATAAGCATACATATCACCTACAGACAAATTCAGTGCTTATTTTTATGACATTAAAATGCATGAACCTGAATACAAAATAAACAACTGATTATTTGACAGGTGGTTGATTCACAGTCCTAAGGATCAAGATGAACAGCTACAGTGGTTGGCTGACACACTGCTACAAGCTGAGCAAGAAGGAGAAAAGGTTCACATTCTTGGTCATATTCCCTCAGGAAGTTCAGAATGTATCAGGACTTGGAGTAGAGAATTCCGTAAGATCATTGACAGGTTAGTCGGCTGTGTTGAGCACGTAGAGGGGTCGGACAAAGAAGCGTTGTAGTACAAAACCAATGGACACTTTAATAACCTACTACTGGTTAAACAGAAACTACCACAGAATAAATACTTTTTATTTTAAAATAAAAGTCTTTTGTCTTGTCTCTCCTGAAAAGCAGATTTTTGCAGATTTGCCACTTTCACCTTTGAGTCAAGAGAATTTTCAAAGGAAACATATTCTAAATGATAAGACAGGAGAGAACATAGAGAATTTTCAACAATTATTTTTATAGACATGTTTTACCGCGGTTTTAAATGCTGTCAGTCTCCGCATCCCTGCTCGGAATCTGAGAGATTTTTCCATGTTCAGTTTTAGCCCTTTGATCAAAAACAGTCCTTCTGCTAGACGCGCATCAGCTGCTAATGTCGTCTGCAGGGACTTGGACATATTCGAGATGAAAATTGTCACACTTATTCACATTCTATAATAGTCTAATTTCCTTAATTTATTTAAATTATTATTAGAAATATGCTAATATATTTAGTTGCAATTTTCTTGTGTATTAGCGTCTAATGTATTTTTATATTCTGCTTGTTTCACCTTCTATGTTTTTATTGTGTTCGCGTGCTCATCTCTGTGCTGTATCTGTAACTGGACTTCTGAATTTAAACATTAACAACAGGGTGCCTAAAAATATGTTCACAATAACATTTTCTATACCCTAAAATTGTGTAATTCAAGTCTCATGATCACCATGCTTTGTAACATTAACACAAAACTAAGCTTAGAAAAGTGAAAAATGTATTATTTCTAATTTTATATGAACATTATACTGGTAGATATGTAGACATATTTTTTTTTCTTTCAAATTATTGCAGTGAAAGCCACAAATCTGCAAAAATGTTAATCATAAATTTCCAATAATGTATAATATGCCCAGGAAATTTTATTTTACTTGTGACTATGATACTTGCTCTGATAAAAAATGCTACTTCCTTATTATGTATCTTAATTTAGAATCATTTTGACAAAACTTACACCATGCTCTACTGAGATGACTGCTACACACAGAAGGAAGTTAACAAGATATCGCAATTGTCACTGGCAAAAAACATGTAATACACAAACATCTAAACAGTTTGTAAAACATGCATATTTATTTTTAGGTTTGAAAACACAGTTGCAGCTATCTTCAACGGACACACACATAATGATCACTTTCATGTCTATTATTCCATTAATGAACCAACTCGTCCCATCAGTGTTGCACTCAACGGAGGAAGTGTAACCCAATTCAGTAACCTAAACTCTAATTACAAGACCTACAGTGTGGATTCTGACACTTTTGTGAGTATATAAAATGTCTGTGCTAGTATGTGAAACAATTTAATCCAAAATCTGATTATAAGTGTCTGCTGTATTAACATTTCAATGACACACATTCACAAACATATTACCAATAATTCAGGACGGAAAGGCACAGGTTAGGTATTTTAAAAATGTACTGAGAGTAAACCAACAAGTTAGCGACAAACCAGAAATTCAGTCAAAAAAACTTCCGGAAGCCTGAAAATTATTTCAAAGTGACATAGTTCATTGCTCTTGATTTAAAAGTTTCACAAACTGAGAACAGAGTACTGCGAGATAATTGTATCACTAATGCCGTATCCATGGAAGTGTCAGTATGATCCGATATGCCAATTCTAAAGAATGTGTTACAGTTAATGGAGGAAAGGCCTGGTAGTGCATGTGAATGGAAGCCAGGAGTTCAGGTTTACAGGAATCTTTTAGATTACCTTACTGTACTTACGAACACCTTTAAAGCTACGCACAATGAGAACAGCTGTTTCACAACATAAACCTTGACTGAACAATTAATGGGAATTATTTGCAGGGCATTCTAGACAGTGAATCGTGGATCTTCAATCTGGCGGAAGCTAACAAAGACGTGACCGTGAATCCAACTTGGTTTAAACTATACTCATTCAAAGATGACTATGGAGTGAAGTCTCTGTCCCCTGAAGAACTGCATAAATTGACCCACAAACTGGCTGGCAACTCAAGTCTTATAAAGGAATACTCAAGGTAAGCTATTACTTGTATTATCATCTTAGATTGTGGTCTGCTGGGTGGCTGCATACCATGGCTTCAGAAAAACATGCTGCATCCATTTTCAGGGTTGATGAAGGCAGCATGCTTCTCAAAAATGTTAATATGCAAATAGTAGACTACACAGCACTCTAATAAATAAACTGAAAGTAATTATTGTTGTTGGTGGTGTTGCTTATCTCAAAGTTAGTATAATACATAAATTTCCTATTCTATATAAGAGGAAATGCAGTTACTGGCTTCCCTTAAATGTAACATCCATAGCAAATGATGCCACAACTTGTATTCTGTCGCTACAAAAAATGAAACAGTCATCATTCTTTGTGTTAGGAAGCAAAAATTTCTGGATTGATCCAAACTGATGGTTCCTCTACGTGGCTCTTTCTGTGTCTGTACACTTTGTGCTCTTATAATGTCAGTAATATGATGAAAAGAAAATACAGCAATTTCTCCATTTATACAATATATGAGTCCATGAAAAATGCTGCATAAGTTTAAATATGTATATAAAGATAAAATTTTCATAAAAGGTCAGAACTCCCAGATGATAAGAAAATTATAAACATTTATTCATGTAAAATGTTTATATAGTTTTACCTAATATAGTGTTAACATTTCAAACTTTATTGGTCATGCATCACACAATCCAGCTGGTTGTTAATGGCATTAATATATCAATAAATCATTTAGTCCTGGGATACTGGGAACGACCCGTTTTTCAGTGCCTTGAGCATCTGCGGATCCCAACTTTTCGTTGGCTTGATCTATTAGACATTCGGTAGGACTCCTTGGACGAGGGATCAGCCCGTCGCAAGGCCTCTACCTGTACACAGGACAACATCCATGGCTTGAGTGGGATTCGAACCCACAGTCCCAGCGACCAAGCGGCACTAGGCCCATGCCTCAGACCATGCGGCCACTGCAGACCCCAATCATTAAGCCCTCAGAATTAAATTCTGGCTGGCTGCACTGTAGAGGGTTTAAATCGCCTATTCCCATATAAGAAATGTTAAGAGACATAATCAGTATTAACAATTACATTCTTATATTCCAGGCATTATGTAAAAGATGCTGCAAGTGGATGTGACAGTGGATGCCTAAGAAACAGACTCTGTTACACTGCAACCACAGAAGTTGGAGACTACACTCAATGTGATATACTACTACAAGAGTTTGAGAGCAATAATCCCTAATCAAAGGTTGATAAATTGTCATTGACTTCAGACATAATACATACTGTAATCAGGCTAATAAGTTTATATACACTCATCAGATGAACACAAAGATATAGGAAACTAGAAACTTTCAAGTAAAAAAAAAATAACTTTGAGAAGACTTTAATATTCATAAATACATTATACCCAGCAACTGCACTCAATGTAATGAGTTAAGGTGATAAACATTTCAATTTAGGTGACAAAGTCAATTCAGATTAATATTACGCCATAAAGCCTAAAACAAATAGAAGGCACACAGTGACTTTGTTTTAAACATTATGTTCTTGTGTTAATTTTAAAATCATGGTTACGCAGGAAACAATGGCATTTCTGTTGGTAAAGACTTGCATTACCATGTAAACTCTGCAAACTAAAACCGTAAGACACATCACTCGTGAATAAATGATGATAACAGGTTTATGATAGTTATTTGTTTCGAAACATAATTTACTGCACATATGTGCAAAACTTCTACATGCATGTTTCAATTAGAACATACATAATAAAAATCAATCAATGTCTTCATATTATCTAATTAACCTTTCTACGTATGTACCTTAATTCTTGATCCAAACCATACCTCAGCATTAAAATTTCCCATTTGTGATCCTTGCCTCTTTGGGCTCGAGTACCTCAGTGACCCCAAGAGCTACTGGTAGGGCCTCCTTAGCCAGATTGGTCGAGGGGGAGAGGTCAGACTAAGACAGGTACCCTGGTCCTCCAGGTTGGGGGTTGGTCGCAAGGCTAACAACCTTGCACCGTAAAAAGGAAGATGTTTCGAAACCTCGATCAAAGCCTCGGACAGACGGACCTAACGGAGGACTCAATGGAAGAGGTGAAGTGAGGAGGCCATGGACCGAATACGGACCGGAGAGCCATAGAAGAAGATCCTTGCATCTACAGATTGAAGTTCTGGTTCTTAAAACAATGAAGTGTTTAATTTGATGGCGTCTGGTAACAAGATTTTTTCTAAACACTAAAAGAAAAAAACTACTCTATGGCATTCGCTTGCTTTGATGAATGTTTGGTTGTACCCACAGGGATCTAATACTTCTACAAATTGACACTAGATGGCAAATGTTCTACTATACAATGCTACTATCATTACTCAATTCTTAAAATTAATTCTAATTTGAGCAATAAGTCAATTAAAACATGATAATACAGCTGACAATTTTCACTGCTGCTCTACAGTGAAATGGATAGAAATGGAATAAGAGATAAAAGAGATAAAGGCATGAAAAGGTAAAAGGAAAAGAATAAATGTGGCAAGGGATAAAGAAACACCTCTGTAATACCATTTAAAGAACTTCTGTGTTCTTCATCATTTATTTTATGTTTCTGCCCAACAAAATATTAACAAATAAACAGACGACGATGTGTCCCATTTAATTGTAACATCTCCTGATTTTGTTGGACTTTCCTAATAGCAAATACAAGAATCGGAAAGCAATGATGATTACAAAATCAAGTAACTTTGCACAAGTAATATTTTTACAGTCTGAAATAACAACATGGAAAGAGTTGAAACATCTTGGACCACTTAACAGTTAGATGGTGGTAACTGATAAAACACTGTAGCTTACATAAGTGGAATTTGATGTGATGAAACAAATGTCTTAAAGATTTTAGGCAGCTTGTATTATGTGTTCAAAATACAGTGGCAAACAATAATTTTGTTCAATAAAATCAGAACCCTGATGATGGGGACAGAGACGGTCCCTGAAACATCAGTTTTATTGCTTAACCATTTGACACGGCTGATCGCCTGAGAATATTTTATTGAGTTATGTCGCCATGAAATCTTTAAATAATTTTGTTCTTAGTGGTTATAAGTAGGTCAACTTTATTTGGGTATGAAGATTTCTGTCTTCTGGGTTGTTGCGCTGTGTAGCGATGAATCACCCTGATGACGGAGGCAATATGACCTCTGAAATGTTGGTAAACATCGACCAGACTACACAGCGCAACAACCCAGAAGACAGAAATCTTCATACTCTGATGACGGAGGCAGTATGACCTCTGAAACGTCGGTTAACATCGACCAGACTACACAGCGCAACAACCCAGAAGACATAAATCTTCATACTCTGATGATGGAGGCAGTATGACCTCAGAAACGTTGGTTGACATCGACCAGACTACACAGCGCAACAACCCAGAAGACAGAAATCTTCATACTCTGATGACGGAGGCAGTATGACCTCTGAAACGTCGGTTAACATCGACCAGACTACACAGCGCAACAACCCAGAAGACATAAATCTTCATACTCTGATGATGGAGGCAGTATGACCTCTGAAA